TTTCTTGTGAAGACCCCTCGGCTGGCGACTGCTGTCAGGTGACTCACGCAGACGCCGGCGCTGGTGAGGGCCCTGCAAAGGAGGCGTGTGTGGGTGAAGCCCGGAACGAATGCTTCAGGCGGTTCTTGTTGTGGTCTTGGTATCTAGCAGTGACGCAGTCCTTAGGGACAAGACCCTGCGCCTAAGATACCCGGATGGGCCGAGTCTACATGAAGCAAAAAAAGTTGAATGAGCAGGAAATTCGTTTAGGAGACTCACATTACTGGAGTCTATGTGATTTTGTGCCCGAGCCCGCTCTGATGAGCAGCCAAATTTGGTTCTGAATCATGGATTTCACGGACAAGTGTGACTGTGCAGCTGCTGCCTGGGAAAGCAAGCAAGATGATTTTTTCTTCCAGATCTTGACGCAGACACGGGTTCACCGTCACAGCCATGTTTTCGGAAAGCTTTGCAGAGACCTGGCGTTTGCAAGCGAAAGCATCCCAAAAAATGACAAGAAAAAGTGTCTAAGATGCCCAGGCCAAACAGATGGCCAAACAGATCACTGTTTCCCACGTGTCTTAGGAACAGTCAGGCGTTCTGTTCCTAAGAAAGTGTCTTTTAGAGTGTTGTCATAAGAGCGGAAAGTCGCTCTTCTACCGGGTGGGTGTCGCTGAGATCTTTTTGTGAAAGAATTGGATCCCACCTCCACGACATCTATGATGCTGATTGTGGGACACACCCCTCTCGGGCAGCCCACAGGGTGCACATCCGAGAGGCACGGCTGCAGGTGACGGGCGCAGCAAGAGATGATGCTGTGGTGAAGTCTGTGGCGCGCGTTATGCTGGAGGATCTGAGACACCCATCCTCACTCAGAGGCAAGTTCGCCGGCGCCTCAATGCTGGCTTGCCTAGCAATCGAGCTTTTTCGTCTTTGAGAAATCTGCCAGTGGTCTGATTGAAGCTACAGGCGTGGTATGACCAAGCAAAGCAGTTCATGGTTGACTTTTAGAGTAACATGGTATATAAAGCGCAATCCCAATTTTTGGTAGCGGGTTGCCCAAGACAATTGGAATTTTGATGAATATTTTTGGAGGTCGCTCGGCCGATGTTCTTCAGTCCTTGGATTTGGCAGCAGAAGGAGGACAAGAAGCGCCACAAGCCCTTCACGATGTTACCATCAACAGCTACAGCTTTGGACCTGGCCACCGGTAGCCAAGGTCAGTTAGCTGCCTGACCCATGTTCACAGACCGCAAGGCCAGGAAGCCTCAGACAAAGTCTGTGTTGGCTGATAAATTGGCCGCGTGGTTGCAATCTAACGATGCCAAAGAGTGGCGTCGTGATCGGATGCAGTTGCGGGCAGCCGATGATGAAGGAGGTAGCTGAAAATGCACAAGTGTGGCCAGCATTAAATTAGGTTAGCGCAAGACAAATGACGCTTTTTGGCGCATTCGAGCTTTTCGGAGGGTGTCGAGTCTGGATGTGTTGTGTTTGGAAGGGCGCGCCCCCGAGGCGGACGAAGGGGTTGTGGGTGGGTTGGAACGTGTTAGGCCAGACCTGAGGAATGGCCGGAATATTACACCAAGCCATAAAGTGGAATGAGCCGGTTTTGCAAAGTTATGCCATGCCACTAAAATAACCGTGGGGCCTCCATTTGCTGGGTTCCTTTGAAACTCGAAATTCTTTGGCCCAGCCTATTCCCAGAAAGAAGAGCTTCCTGCATCAGAGGCTGCCGCTCGGCGCTTTTTCGACAAGGTCTGGCTCGTGGCCCGTGTGGATGAGGCAAAGTGTTTTAACAATGTAGATGGCTCAAAACATGTTTGACCCAGGGCTTTTGTTTTTGTAAAAGGTTTGATTCGCCCAGGTCCGTCTGAGATTGCCCGATGCAGGGATCCCACGATTGTATACTATTCGACCACCGGGTGACTGGACAAGGTGGAGCCATCATTGGCTTCCTGGGACTTGAAAAGACAGGGCTTCATCGGATTGGCCACGATGCTACTTCAAAATAGAAGAGAGTTCTCGCAAGGGTTGATCTCAGAGAAACAGGTGGTAGTTCTTCTTCTTCTCTAGGATGCGACAAGTGACCCAGGACTCCCAGGACCTGTCGGACATGGGTCTGATCGGGGCTCGCCCGTGACCAAGGAGCTCATGGAAGCTGTGCAGGTCAGCGATGCAGAGGCCGTGGACCCATGCGCCATTGGGTGTGAAGTTCCTGTTGTGAAAAAGGCTCTCATCACAGCTTAAAGATAGTTAGAGCAACAACACCAGGGCAGTTGTTCAGAGGTTGTTCGAATTTTTTGTGTGGGGAATTAAGGCATGGTTTTGCGATGTGTTGCAACTGAGTTTCGTAGATTCTCTTACAGGAAGGCGCAAGAATCAAGAAGGCGTGGTCTCGATTGGTTTGTAGCTTTTATGACCACCACACAGTGTTAGTTTGACTACCACAGGGTAGGTGGTCCTGGTCATGAACCAAACTTTTATGTAGGGGGTGCATGTGGTGAGGTGGCCCACGTCCCTCCCTGGTGCCTCTGCTGGCTGCTCCTGCCGCTGGGTGCGTGTGGTGAGGTGGCCCATGTCAGTCCCTCCCCGCGCTTGTGCTGGCTGTTGCGGCCTTGCTGCCCGAGAGGTGCGTGTGGTGAGGTGGCCCGCGTCCCTCCCCGATACCTCTGCCGGTGGTGCTGGTATATAGGTCGGCAAACCAAAAGTGTAGATGGTAGATAGATAAGTTATCTTTTTTGCAAGACTGTCATGTTTGTCAGCAATGCATACAGAACTCCCGAAGATAGGGCTATTGTCGAGCCAGGGTAGACCCTATCCGGGGTCCGTATAGGCTACCCATATGCCTTTAATAAGCCTACCCCTACGCTACTTACAGGAATATATATGATAGGCCTACCCCCAGCTTGCCCATAGGGCTAGGCCTACCCCTAGCCAGCAGCTTGTGGCCGCGTGGAAGTTGCAGCGGCAGAGAAAAAGGGTTTGCATTGCGTTGGCATGATCTATAGGGTATCTGTGGTGATGTCCAACCACGGCTTCGGCCGATATATATGGGCATATGTTCCATACATGGATGGCTGGGAATTGCTCCGACCCGCTTTGCGCTGACCTGGACTCGGCCCGTTTTCGTTCGTACCTTGGAGTACGTTTTCCCCGTGCGTGGTAGCCTGTTCTTCTGTGGGTCCGACCTGCCTTTTTCTAAGGTACGACCGAAGTCAGTCCGTCCGGTCCGACCACTCCTCTCTTTCTCTCTCGTCCATTGACCCCGCTCGGAGTTCGCCCCAACTTCCGCACGCATCTGGACTTGGTCCCACCCTTAGAAAATGGGACGTCTGACCCCATAAAAAACAGGTACGACTGCACCCCTTTTGTGAGGAAAATGCGTACAAGTACATACAAGTACCCATGTTCTAACATACTTTGGAGACTCCAGGTAGTGATTGGAGAGATTGTGGTTCGGAGGGTCCAGTCGTACCGAAGCTGAGAAGGGACTGGATCCCTATAGGGTGGAATTGTCAGGGGACCCACAACTTGGCCCACAAACCATCAAAAACCTGGTTTGCCCCCACCCTAACCATCATTGGACCTTGCTGTGGAGGGTTTTGGCCCTGCATCGCAGGGGTTTGGACCCTCAAAGCCTTCACCTTTGAGGGGTCCTTGATTCAGCAAGAAACATGGTATTTTGTATCGGTTCGACTGGCCGGGCCGGTGATACACTCTCCGCTCTCCCGAGGTTGATTCTCTCGGTGCACAACTTGACGGTGGCCGTGATCCCTGCGGCTTTGGTGGCCTTTCCGGCGCTGCAGGTGGGCATCATGGGCTGTGTGATTTGTGCCTGAGCTGCAGGCCGAGCGGCTGAAGACAGTATGAAACACTTTGGGATAAAGGAAACATCAGCAACCAGAAGCTGTTAAGGCCATTTTGGGGAAACACAGCCGGCGAAACGAAGCGGAAAGGAATGGACACGAAGTGGGGTGAACGACGGAGTGAAGCAGTTGGAAATGGCGTTACCCCCAAGGGGTCTTCCAGCGGTTTTCATGATGTTTAGTTCCCTATCCAGTGAGTGGATGTAAAGAAGAGCACCCCGGCATGGAACTGCCGGAAGAGGAATTTCACAAGCTGTGTCTATGGCAAAGCACCTTGACCAGGGGTCACATGTCGGGGTGGTGTTTAGTCCCATCCAGTGAGTGGAGTAGCTGGGCACCCTAACCTCCAAGTTCGGCACCCCTTGGTGAGTCCTGGGAGATGTTCTTTGACACGGTGTTTTCTTGTGGTTTGTACTAGAAAATTGTTGAGCAGTCGTGAGGTCATTTCCAGCCAACAAAAAGAGCAAGCCAGTTCGGATGGAATCATGAACAATCATGAACAATCTGTTCACTCTGAGTTCGGACGGTGTTTTTTGTTGGCTGCGCCGATTTCGTCTCATCCGAAATCGGACGGTGTGCGGCCTCGCGTGACCGGATCAGGCTAGGGGTGGAGTTCATTGGTACAGGTATAGAGATATATACCTGAACCCTCCCGCAAAGTAACCTAGAAAATGGGACCATGGTGACATATCATGATCCTATAAATTCAAGTTAAAAATCAATTAAAAGCCAGTCCTGGTACCGCTTTAGGAGTGAACCCAAAGTCAGGTGACCTCGACCACCTGACGACACCGCCACAGATCGGACGGGATCGGCGCCTTCTGCACCGCTCCACGACGGGGAACGGCGCTCCACCCGTGAAAATCCGCTGGCGACTGGTGTTGGAGGAAGAGGTCGTCTTCTGTACTGGACACCAAAAGTACTGGACACTGGAGACTTCACCAGGAGAGGCCACCTGTCACTGGAGACTTCAAGTTGCAAGGTGGTGACCTGGCAGGACGTCGGTTCCGAATGTTGATTGATAGAATTTGCGTGACTGCCCAAAGAGGTTTGACCATTCAAATATGTTTAATCAACATTCTACCTCGACGATGTAGAAAAAAGACACCAGCACCTCATGAGGCGCTCAGGGTCTCCACCTCTCGGAGCTCCAGGTCATTCGGCAGGTGTCCAGGGTCCCGTACCCCCTCCAGTTGATCCAGCGCAGAGTGATCGCAGCTTGATCTCAAGCTCCCAGGTTCCAAGCTCGTTGCACAGATCCTCCTCTGGCCTTGGAGGCCACCGCGGACCCGCGTCGACTGCGAGTCCGAGGTGACCAGCGCCCTAATCAGGAGGCGGATAGAGGCGGACAGAGGCGGTAGAATCACTGAAGGGGGAGAGGAAGATTGAACAGTATCATTGCGCTACGTGGAGTATGATTCATGTAGAATCTGTGTTTGAGAACTGTTGAATGTGATCACGTGGTTCTTCAAACAGGCCTCGAAGGGGCTGCGTCCACAAATCAAGGAGTGACAAATAAAACCATAAGAGGTTGGTTCAACTCTTTCTTCCGTAAGTGGTTTTGTTCACAAGAGGTGAAGCATCATTTCCCTTGACCTCCTTCCTCATGTTTGTCCTTTTTCCCTCCACTCTAGAATGGACCTGGCCAACTACAACGACGCGGCGCTGTCCGCCGGGCTCATGACCATCTTGCTCCTAGCCTCGCCACTCCTGAACATCGACCAGGGGTGTCCTGACCTCAACGACCGCTGACCTGGGGGGCAGTCGGGAGCTGGAAGGTGGGTGGTGCCACCTGTTCCCATCCAATGGGATTGGAAGATGTCTCTACATTGATCCATGCCCAGACACGCACTCCATGGGTCTGTCATAGGACTGCCCCCCCTAGGACTACCCCCCCTGGCACCCACCACCCCAACTGATCGGCATATATGGCTCTCCATGGAGTGTTTGGGCATGTATTTATAAAACATTCCGTGCACATATATTACTAAACATGGGGGTATGGTCCATGGTACCATTCTGAATCTGAATGTGGGACCAAAATCAATGTGGTGAGCATGCGAGCAATTTCTTTAACCTGTTAAGGGCATGTGAACAGCAGATTGCGTTCACTTCTGAGGTCCAAGACGTTTAAACTGCATTCCCTAATCAATACTTGCCCGATCGTGCGGTTCATGGTTCTGACCAGGATTCCGACCCATGAAATCGGCCACGGATCCTAGGGTGGATGGTTTGGATTTCGGCGTCCAGAGAATCGGTGCGGTTTCAGGTTCTTCCCTTGGTTCGACTTCTTGAAGTAGGTCGTGAATCAAGAACTCCCCTTGTGCGGGGACTGTGATAGACTGTGAAGACGACTACTTGTACTCAAGTCTGGACTTGAACGATTTGAAGAATTGGGCGCCAGAGTTGCTTTTCCTGAACAAACTCAATATGGACTGTCTTTTGAAAGGCCCTTGTTCAGGCCTTAGATGCTAGATGCTCACAGCCTTGATGACTGTTTTTGCTGGCCAGTCATGTCAGAAGCTTGCGGAAAGTACTTGCCCCCGGCCCGGTGGTAATCATTGCCGATCCAGGTGGCGCTGTTGTGGATGTTCTAGGCCCTTAAGTCACCAGCCTTTGTGTGAACCACCGGAGCAGTCCGTCACTCGGGTTCAGCGCCGCGCACCCGGCAAGTTGCAGCAGCGCGTTGATGCAATTCGAATCGATCTTGATCACTTAGTTTGGAAAAGAAAGAGACCTTGAATACCCTAGGAATCGAACAACATAATTGCTTTATGGTGTTTGCCAAAGAACCTATTGTTTTACTATAGGGACCGTTTGCACCAATTTCACCACCAGGTCAACCATTCTTTTCATGGTCGAACTGAAGGCTAGGGGAATGCGTGTTTGTGGTCATCCTGCCGTTTTCTTCTAACCAGCACCAGTGACCCAAGATCCAGTCTGCAAGCGTATGCTGGAGTCACACAAATCCCCACCATCCAATCATCAAAACAGAATTCCACAAGTTCTGCCATTCGAAAGGCTCTTCTCTTTTACCTGCCAATCAAAGCAGTTGAATCCCCACCATGCTCTTCTCTTAAAACACGTTCTCTTCTCTACCACCCAACGACCCATCTCGTATACTGGACTCATCCCGTTCTCAGCCCACCGGGTCCATCGACTTCGAGGCAGACACGGCAGTCAGTGGCGGTGCTCCTGAGCTGCGTGATGATCTTGCTGCCGCTGGTGGCGCGGCAGGGACTCTACCTGTTCGAACGAAGGGGTCCAGTGGGAACGGCTCATGGGACGAAAGGAAGATCAATGAGAAGATCATATGTATACCTACAACCTGTTTGACCTGTTTTGATGGGAAAAGACCATGTGTTGGCTCCAAAACAGGGGTCGGTCAGGTTCTATAGGTAATTACATGCATTGACCCTCTCCCAAAACAGGTATATTGTCATTCCCATGATGCAGGCTTGGGGAAAGAGGAGCAAGCTCATGACACACGGCGACGAGTTGTGGAAGGAGGTACGTTGAGCTCCAGTCAGACAGTTTGAATCAGTTTGAGCTGGTCAGAATATCCTGGAACATGGGAGTATCCCTTACAAACAGGTCCAAATGCGCAAAGTTTCCCTACACCTCCGTTTTCGTACCGAACCTCAGGTTCGGTATGACTGGACCCAACCCTGGGCTCGTTTGTTGGACCGTTTCTGCACCTTTTCGGTTTGACCCAGAGGCGACCCTGGACGCTCATGGACCCTGATATGGAGGGGGTCGGAGCCTCTAATCCCGGTTTTGAGGGACCCGGAAAGGCCTGTTTTCACGGAGCGTCGAACGACCTTCGAGGGTTTCACGCTGGTACGTCCAGATGTTGAGCCGGGACCTTGGTGCCCCAGTTTCGGGTCCCAGCCGAGTACCACGCATGAATAGGGGGCTTAGAGTCTTAGAGGATAGGGTAAGATTAAGTTCCCTGGACCCTCCTGTTGGGGTGTCCTGGCTGGACTACCCCACACTATAGGCTTCCAGACAGGGCACCCCGACAGGAGGGTCCTGGTCATGGTGGAGGTGTTGATAACCCACCCAAAACAATCCGACCAGACTTGAAAATGGATTCTTCTTCAGGTCCGAAGAGTGACGATGAACAAAGCCCAACTGACATGCCTGACATGCCAACGGTTCGTGTTTCAACCAGCTCAGCACCAGTGGATGTGAAAAATCGCCGCTGCGCACTGCGCAGTTTCAAGGTGGCCATTTTCATCGCCTTTGCCGTGGTGCCTTTGGCATTTCTTTTTCGACCGGCAGATGACTGGCAGAAGACTGGCATGGACGTTGGGGAGAAACGATGGGACAAGGGGTCAACAAAACGGCTCTTACTTTAGGCTTCTGTTCGACCACTGAAAGAGTTGGGTGGACCTGGTTTTGTAGTCTAAAGTCCTTAATATAATGCATCCCTACAAGTCCCAAGACCCAGTAAAACCGGGTCTTTTACCTCCTCAGGTAGTGTTTGGGCATGACCAACCAACTCCAGCAAAATGAGCTCATTGACTTGTAGGGCATGTTTGTTGGATGTTGTTGGGGCTTCAGAGCATTAAAACAATGGTGGGCGACCGGGCTCCCAGGGTAAGGCTGCAAAACCCATCGGAGAATGCTTTGGCCCAACAAGATCGGCGAGGACTGGGGGTGATCACATGGCTCCACTGTTGACCTCTTGGGAGACTGAGCAGCTGATGCTTGAGAACAAAACTTGGAGGCCTTTCTGGACAGCTGGCCGACATCGTATACCCGGCCTAAACTGTGTTTATCCACTGACTAGACTGTTATTGTATACTTGCATGTACTATTTATTCCATACTGATTCATGTTTGGGGGGGCCCATGTTCATCCATTTTCCATGAGGAGAATGTTTTTGAGACATGAAGGCCTGGAGAACCTCCAACGTGAGCCGGAGCGACTCCCGAGTTGACTGGGCGCGACCCGAACCGGCGCTTTGACCCAGCCATCTGAGACCTTCGCGCAGCGTCCCCCCACCCCAGAGTACCCGCCGAAACCGGAGTCCGATCTGCCCCCAGGTCCTGGCCAGGTTACGGCCGCAGAGCAAGTTCGGTGCCTTCTTGTGCCACCATAAGGCGGGTGCCGGTGCGCTGTGCCGCTTCTTCAAGTGACCTGGGCTGCAGAGTAGAACTCCGGACCGGTTCAGCAGGGGGGGAGGACTCCGCGAGAACTGGACGCTGGGCTGAATGCCTAAACACTAAAGTTACTTCTCAGGTCCAACCAGGGGCCCTACAAACATCTACAATCCAGCAAAAAACTAGTTTTCCCTAGCGCAAAATATGGTCTTTGTATGTGAAAACCTCTATTTTTCATGGGATTGAGGGCTGGAAGAGCGTTTCTTGTCTTACTCTGCGCAGCGAGTTTTTGGAGGTGTTGAACTCCAATGTGGGAGTCCAACCTCTCCGTGGAAGTGAGTGGCGACGCCTTCATGGCAGGTAGACACTCCCGTAGTGGAAGGGCTCGTTTCGAGGGGCATGAGGAGAGTCTCGCTCGGATCGCAAGTTGGCTGTGGTGGAAGAATGCCCTTCGAGTTTTGATGTTTTTTTTGTTTCCGCGCAGAAGAAGGACCATGGTCGGCAGGATCTATTTAGGTCAGCGCGGGGGAAAAGACGTTCATTGTTTGCACTGGAACGCAAAAACGAACAAATCAACAATAAATCAACTCAAGTGGGATGAACGAATCAACAGACCCAAGAACATCCAACCTTTAAATCGTGGGCTTCGGAGCGACGTTTCCTTCGTGACTCGGGGCCGGCGTGTGTTCGAGTAGACGGCATCGTGTGTTCGACGGACGAGTGGCGGACTGCACTTTGAACAACTGACATATATGCAGACGTCGCGGATGTGGTTGGGAGGTGGGATGACGTGGGATTCTAAGAAAATCCAACCAGGCACGGCGCAACGTGCCGTGCACACGGGACACGTGATCCGAAGCGGAAGGGGGAAGCGGTTCCGCTCCGCCTTCGCCGAGGCTGGTGGCGAAGAAGTACGTCGCTCGGATCCGAAGGAGGACGTCCCTTCCCCCCAGACGCCACCCGGAAGGGGTCGGCCCCGAATCCAAGGGTCAGGGGTCTGGACCCGGAGTCGGGCTGTTACTTTTTCACGGACGGAGCGTCTGGGCCAATGCATTTGGACTGAACAAGATGCCGCCCCAGAGCAATTCTGCCCCTGAAATCAACCACCCCGACTTGACATAAGCCAAGTCATATGCCATACTTACATACATGCCATTGGGCCAGAGAAAGAGTTGGTGATCCAGTGATTTTGGGGTCAGGCTTTGTACCAAGAAGCTCGGACCGTTGCTGGAGGGCTTTGGCTGGAGGGTTTAGGCTGGTGTTTGGTCCAGTCTCCGCGGGAGAGAGCGCGGTTGGTTCAGCCAGGCTCGGCTCGGCGCATCTCGGCCTCAGCCGTGAAGACAGCACGACGTGTCACGGAACCAACACGATGTGAGATCCGTCCTTTTACCTGAAACTGCAGCTTGGTTTGTCGTCAAGTGTGGACCTCCAAAGAAGCTGGAAGAAGGAAAATAGACCGAAATCCATTGAGGCCGGGGGTTTTCACTATTAACATACCCACCCACTTGGTTGTCAATGACTCCGCTCCGACTGCTACGACTCCAAAAGACGATAGCAGCAGGAGGTTCTGAAGGAACCCTAAGACTATCCCAGGTATATAACCCAGGTCCTTTTTCACGGCACCAACAACCTCTCTTGGAAGTGAAAAGGTCTGTTTGATGGGCGCATGCTGAACCCTAGGATTCCAACAACATCCAAGAACCATTGCTTTCATGAGTCTGAATCCTAAAGAAGCATATAGATCAGTAGATCCCCACTAATCACTCGCTTACGCGCGTGCGTATGCGTGCGTGCCACTATCTAGTTAAGGGGAGTACCATGCATAGGCCTAGGGTGAAGTGACCAAACCTTCCCAGGTCAACATCAATCTCTTCCTGGACTCCGACGAGCTGGATGACCTTGCCAGGACTGTGTTCGACTTGTGGGGGGACCACCCGATCCAGTCGTAGCTGTCTGACCAGGTGGAACCCACGCCGTTCGTTGCTTGCTGCATGTCTATATAGCACCCGACTCTACGGGTCTCCGAAATGGAGGGTTGGGAGTTGGGAAGGGCCCCAACAGGTTTCAATTGGTGACCTGGCAGTGAGGTGCTCGTATATGTTCTTTGAAATCCTTGGAATTTGCAGATTTGCCGAAAAAGGCTTTCCCAGAGAAAGTTTGTCACTAGACCTACCTTTTTTTAGAACGATCTCAAGTATATATCCATATTGTAAGCCCTATGGCTCCTGGCCACCCCCTCCGTTCGGAAGATGGTTGGTGTGGGTGGGTGGCAGGGTGGGTCTAACCACCGAACTTGAGGATATGGGACAGGAGCCCTAGGGATATGGGAGTCAACAGAGCCGAATTCGTTGCCGGAAGTCCCAGAGCTTGTATGGAAGGGCCATGAGGATCCAACAAGTTCCTCCATGGATGTTGTCCATTGCTCAAAGGCTCAACGAAATTGCCCAGCGGTTCCACCCTGGAGTCTTTGTTCAGTAGGGACCTGAATCCTTTGGAGGGTCTAACCAATCCGGTGTTGGGAGAAGGGTTTGTTTGGAGCATTTGGGTAGGCATGAATTCTTGGTAACTGTCAACTGACGGCACAGTGGCCCAGTGGCGTGCGAACATCATGAGCCACGAACGCCGGCCCTGCGCCTCTTGAAGGCTTTGCATTTTAGCTGATCTTCAGACACCGCAACCGAGCAAGGCAACCAAAAGCAACGAGAACTCAGAAAAATAAGAAACCAATAAACAGCCTGGTTCTTCAAAGTGACCTTTTGATAACCTGGTTTGAGGTCACTTAAGCCTCCTAAGGGTCACTTAGGAACCTTCAAAAGGTCACTTTGAAGAAGCTGGAGTGTCTAAGTAAGTTCCAATAGTTCCCTGTCGGGGTGCCATGTCCGGTGTGACCAGAACATCCACAGCCTGTGAGACTGTCGAAACCATCCCAACTCCATGTAACTCCTTGTGAGCTTCTTCACATGAATGTGACGACTCGTGGCGGGGCGCCGCGATCAACGGAATTGTGGCGTTTTGCGAAGACTTCGATGCAACCAGCACCTTCGATCCAGGTCACCGAGACAAAGTTCAGAGTTGGACCTTGCAACATCGACAACAACCCCAAAGCCATCCATGGAACTGGAATAGTTATTGGAATAGTTATTGTTATACCTGGAGTCGACCCGGAACTTGTACCTCGGAGTCTATGGGGCCCCAGTCGTACCTGCTTTTGATGGGGTCAGACGTCCCATTTTCGAAGGTACGAACTGGAGACTCAAGGTACATTGATCCAGAACACAACAAAACCTAGACCATCCATGGGTGGAACATATGCCGCCCCAGAAAGACCCCTGAAATCAATCACCCCATTGGAATATCGCCAGTCCCGCTGGATGGTCGTTTCCCAAGGAATCGATAGATGCGTAGCGGTGGAAGTAGATCTCGATTTGCTGGAACCTGGGCTCCTGGCCTCGCGTCGTGAAGCCCGGAGCTTCGAGTACGGTCCCGGTGACTCGCGCCGCGAGCCTCGACACCTCGATGCGCCAGGATCTTTGACATCGTCAAGGTCGGGGATGGGACGGGAGATGGCTCGAGTGATGGAGCCATCTATCTGAAGAGACAAAGGTCGACTGCCTCTCACGAAACGAACAAGCCCAACCAGTCCTCCAGCGTGACTTGAAAGCGTTTTCAACAGCAAATCTTCCAACAAGCAACCCACAAGGGAGTGGTGAATATAGACACCTTTGAATCATTAATGGACTCCCAATTGGTGACGCCCCAAAACACCGTCCGGCGCGGCGCATGGTCATGACCATGGGATCGCACGGGGATCTATTGAAGACACCGTGACTTACCTGGAGCAAAAAGAAGAAAAGCTCTTTAGCGATGGCCTCCACCTAGTAGCTTCTTGTTGCTAGTACCTCAGGATATGAGTGGACTGTAGCTCTTTTTATAGGGTCATGTCCCCTGTTCTAGTGTGCTTTGGAGGGTCCAGGTATAACGCTTGGGAACCCAGTTGAGTTGCTGTTGACCTTTTTCGGTTTTTCACCAAACTGAAGATAAATGCAGAATTGAGATCCAGGACCTGAGCCGTTGACCTCTGACTGGAGTCTTTCTTTGTGACCTCCATGGTGAAACCGCCACGATCGGACTCAACGGACTAGTGAGCCTGAGCCGAGCGCTCAGGTTCCGATCGCGACCTCGGCCGACAGGTGGACCAGTGCTGAAAACAGTTGGAAGTGGAAGTGGAACGCAGGAAATGCTGGATGGATTCCATATATCATTGGATCAGAGAGCCCATGGGAGATCGAGAGACACATCTGACAGATTGATCGTCATCAACATTCGCAGAACACCCTCGACCTCGTTTCGCCCCGAGTTTTCTCGCCTCCACTGAGCCGTTGAGCCGCCTCCTGCCATGGCCTTGGAGCTGGCGATGGTTGTGGGCCGATCGCCATCGGAGCGATCGGGCGGATCGAGCAGCGAGAGCGAGCTCGCGCAGCTCGAGCGCGTTGCGGAGTTGGACGAGGACCCGGATCAGCCGCCGTTGCAGGCTCGGGTCGATCCCGAATCGGATTTGGCGTTTCTAGCACTCAGTTGTGTGACCTCTATAGGCGTTTTTTGTTTCGATTTACCAGACATGCACAGAGCTATAGGAGATTGAATGGGTATCCAATGGAGAGCTATTTTCAGAAGGCCTCCAGTCGTACCGAACCTGAGAAGGTGGGACTGGGGTGGGTGCCAGGAGGGTCCAGTCATACCTTCGCAGGAGGTACGACTGGAGGTGTAGGGTAATATATGGTGTAGGATTGTTAATTTGTGACCCCATTCAAGCAGCCGGTACGTGACGACTTAGATTAGATTCCTTCCTTTCAGCATGAATAAGTTAAACGTTAACTAAGAAACAAGTTCATGTTTGTTGATTGGCGCCATGATCCACGTTAACAGCACACAAGTGATATGTGCGATTGGACTGGAATTCCCTCAGCCCCTCAGATCATGCAAATCATGCCGAGACGGGGAACTGTTTGATGAACACATTATGATACAGGTCGTCGCTGCCTATGTGGCGCGAATGGATATCTTAACGCCGGAAGTTTTGAGGGTCACGCATGCACACAAAGCCTTCCAAGATTGTGCACGAGCACTGCGAAAGACCAATGCAGATGACCTTTATGCAGAGAGTTTCATCAGCCAAAAAGTGGCTTGTTTCTGGTCCCATTCCTGGCATGGTACATCTTGGATGAAGATGCTGTCGCTCATGATGAGGTACAACGGGTTGCCATCAGTTCTGGTAGGTTCCTGCACTGCTTTGGTCATGGCTGGCCTCTTCAGCTGTGGCCTTTTGCCAGGAATAAGGCGAGCAGACTGGTTAATTGGACAGTGGTCAACCTGGTCAATAGGAGGCGGCTTCACAGCAACGGTGATCACATTTTGCTTGTGGCGGCCACAGCAGCAGGTTTTTCTGGACCGGGTTTGCATCAATGAAAACGACCAGGATCAGAAAGCGGCAAGCATTTTTAGTTTGGCAGGCATTCTGAAAAGGTCGGACGAGATGCTGATTCTTTGGGATGCCACATGGGGTGAACGCTTGTGGTGTCTATTCGAGCTGGCCGCTTTTTTGAAAAGCAGAGACGCCCGGGAGCAAAGGCTCACCATTAGACCCACATTTTTGGGTCCATGTTCCATCGCACTTTTCATTGGCATTTGCATTGTGGTGTTGCCTTTGACCATCCTTCCGATGCCAGCATCCAACCCATTGTTCCATGTGTTTGGTTCCTTTCTCTTCATATTAATCCCGGCATACTTCATTGTTGCAGCCTTCCGTGCGTATTTCCGCTCAGTAGAAACTTTGAAGGCAAAGTTACAGAATCTCAGCTTCGACAACACCAGATGTGCATGTTGCGATCTTGGGCATGTGCAAGGAGGAATCCCCATGATGTGTGACAGGCAAATCGTCAAGAAATGTGTGTCGATATGGTTTGGCAGCCAAGAGGCCTTTGAAGACTGTGTACGATCAGCCGTTCTGCAGACAGTGGTTGCAGGATTGCAGGAGAACATATTCACAAGAGGGTGGAGCCTCTCAGTGTCAGTGCCCCTACTTTGGGCCTTCCTGGATTTGGTAGTGTCCCATGTAGCAGGAGGCAACATTAGTTTTGCCATCGCTCTGTTGATTGAGGGCTTGGTGCTGTGGCTCTTTTGTCTTCCTTTGTTTATAGATTTGTGTAGATTCCTTATGTGCCGGTATTGCCAACGAGGCACTTCCACTTTCCGTGAGATTTTAGTGAACCTGAAGGTTCAGCTGATGGCGATTGCTTGCTTGTGTTTGATGGTCGGCACTTGGATTTTTCTTTGTGGAACACGCCCTACAACTGAACTGCATGAACGTCCTCTTGGTGTGGCAGTGTTTACAGGACTGTGGGGCGCACTGGCACTTCTTCATCTGTGCAGAGCGCCACTTCGCCTTCCACTTCGCAACCACTTCGTCCAGTCGACCGACCCGATCAGCGTAGGACGGCGTGGGAAAAGACGGATGGATCTGTCGGGACGTCGCCTGGCTGGATGGACACTGTCGGAACTAGAGGGATGTGTCCAGATAGTCCAGGGCTTCCAAGCCACCACCGGTACGTGACGTGCTTCGTAGCGTCCTCTTGCTACTAGCGTAGTACCGCCAGGAGACCCGACACAAGGCTTCCGATCGCTCCGGAATTCGTCGCGATGCCAGGCTAGCCCCGAGTTCGTGGCGTCCCATTGCTTGACTAAGGAGTTTACACTACAAAGTCAGGTCGTTCCCATTTTTGAATGGTCTTGGAAGTCTAGAGCAGTAGAACACTGTTCATGTTCCGGTCAAACCGGTTAGCCCACCGTTTGACCCCTGGACCTGGACCTTACTCGGGATGTCCTTCCAAACTCGTCGTGTGGGGGCTTCCATTGATGACCCTGCTGGAAGGTGCTGGTACTTGTTCATGCAATTTTCTGAGGTACTTTGGAGAATGCAGGTTTTTCGCCTCACATGGACATGGAGTTCCAGTTTGTACCTGAGAACATGGGGACGGCGTCGTACCTGTGCCAACTTCAAGGGCGCCCTTCGTGTCCAGGTATACAGAGGGTTTGATCGCCGTTTTCCGCGGCCCCTGGGGGTGGAAGTCACGTGTTCCCGGACATTTCTCAACATGTCTCAACACGAAGTTCATGCCATTCGTTTTAGTATAGGAGAACTCCAATTATAGGTCGAGTCGACCGCACCTGTCCACCTGTCGACTCGGCTTGTTCCGAACCGTTCGCTGCGAGCACGCACGGAGCGACCTGGAGCCACCTGGAGCGATCGCTGCGCTGCGGACGCTGACCGATCCGCATCAGGATGGGGTCGAGGATGGCCATCACACACACCTGCAGATTTTATATATATATATATGCTAATGCTAAGGCTGCATCGTGGAAGGTCGCCCAAAATCGGAGTTGGTCCTCAGAATCTTAGGATTTTGCCCTTGAGTTTAAGTGAAGATCGATGTGAGAAAGTCTCCAGTCAGTAGAGGGTCCTTTTTGTTTTTTGACCACTGAGAACAGCTGCTTTTGGACCAAGTCACACTTGGAGAGCATCATTTTCACCACTTTGCAGCAGCCAGCGAGGTGATCCTGATTTCTATGACCAGCTTGCAAACATTGGACATGAACGTATCGTTTCCAAAAAATGCCTCAACATGTCAACATCTAATCAATTCAGCCAGGAACGTAAAGGAACGTCATTTCTGGCGGCAGACATGTTAGTCAAAAAACAACCGACGTAGTTGATGTAAACAGCCCGCCATGGTAGGGGCTGTGGCAGTTGGCAGAGCCATTTCCGATGCTGGATGGTCCGATGAAACCCTGAGTTCTCACAGCAAGCTGCAAGATCATCCAAGAGATGAAGTGCATTTGCAGGTGTGAGTCCAAACATTGTCTTTTTGACCAGGCCTTGAATCGAGAACTACGTCTAAGTTATATAAATGTTGGGACTCTTTTGTGTTTGTTGGAGCATGATGTGTCGTTTGTAGTTACCTCGCTTAATTACAGAAGATGCAAACGTCCAACGAACAGAGGTGATGCCCCGATTCTCTTGTCATCTAAGTTTTGGTCCCTGACTTGTTTATGCTAGCGGCATTGTTACCGCCCGGATAACAAAAAACAAAGAAAACACACATGTTTCTGCACGTGTGACATGGACACTGCATGATAATGAGAACATGTGGGGGTGGGGGGTGGGGCAGAGTTGCTATCGGAAAAGTTGTTGTTTGATGTTGCTGCTGCGCCGAGAGTTGTTTTCGTTCAAAGGTGGGCTCAGTTTCGTGGGCGCGCTCAGTTTTTCGTATGTGTTGCTGTTGAGAGTTGGCAAGCTTGCGGACATCGGAGAACTTCCGGTCAATCTTAAGAATTATTTGGTGGACGTGTTTTATGTGCAAGCTTTTGAATTGTTTGTGCAGGATTGTTCCAGAGGCCCTTTGGTTGCTTCCACTAGGTTTGTCGTGCTTGACCAAAATCGTTGGCCTGTAGTGTTTACCGCATTGGAAGAGCATGTACAGCCTTTTT